CTAACTTTATGCCTCTTGAAAGGACGTTAAATATATCACAATGGGGGGTCGTGAAGGAGAGATCTTGACTGCTCTCAAATTCAACCCACGAATTGTACTTTCCCTGGATGTCAATGCTACATCGTTGGGGGATATATGATAAGGGAGCGAGCACACAGAGAGTTTTTTTTGGTAAATAACAATGCGGAATACATTTTTTAAACAGGAAAAAATTTGGTAAAATGGATCAATAGGATTGTTCAACATTCTCTGCGACAATTTCCACGCAACCGAGTTATCTCAACCCTTAAATAATTGTCTTTTCCCTGCTTCTGGCTTATCATTCTCTCAGGGTTCGTTAATTTTCGATTTTCTACTTGCACCTATGCCGTACGTCATAATTCGACCAGAGGCTTGATACTTAACGCTCTCCCGGCCATTTCGTTGCTTCATACTCTCGTTTCTGAGATTTATGATTCTCGATCGAATAGCCAGTTTCAGTTCTCAGTTCCATTGTGGTTTGACGTTTCACGAGACTGGCCTCTGCACGAGCTCAAATTCTTCTACATAACGACCCAATCAATCGCAATACTTGGATTCAATATGGATTTTTCATTCGGTGCAATAACTATTTACGTACGTGTACTGTACTTGGTCTGTTGGATTTATTATTTCTGGAGTCCAATCCTATATGATGCGGTATACTGGAGCAAATGCAAATTTTCAGTATTATGCATTCGATCCGATCCTGTAATTGGGTTAATTGACTTGAATATGAGAGTGCATGCATGTTTAAAATCAGTAAATGCATTGCATTTAGCGATCACTTGATCACTGAATCAACAAAAATCGCCGAAGATACCTCGAATTTTGGAAAATAGATGCGAATGACCGCACTTTACTCTGAGAGCATACTTGAGAGTGTCACAAAGGCAAGTGAAGTTTCCTATTCTGGAGGATTATAATAGCTTCTAAGAGCCCTCCACTGAGCCAACGTTCGCTGATGTCGAAGCTTAATTCTCCGTGAAACCTGACATTAGATACATATTATTGGGACAATTTACAACAAGCCATTGCTCAGATTCTCTCGGTTATTGCACTTTAGTATCCTTCTAACTGTATTATATCCTCCTTACGTTGCACAGAACACATCTCAGCTGGCTGGTGCTGAATTTCCTGTTGAGGAGTGAACCCATTATTCCTAATGTCCCACGCAGAGTTACGCGAGTGACATGTTTATTGTTCATGTATATAATTTCTGACATATACATATAAACAGCACAGTAGGTGTTCATTATTAGTATCAACAATTGATACACCTGTCTCGAAGAAAAGCTCGATTCAGACTCAATATCTATCAGTGAAGTTCAATAGATATCTCTTATACGAAGCTCTTTGTTACGAAATTCCTCGACCAATTGAGCTTCAAGAAAGATGAAATCCGTCTTATCCTGCATTCAAACGCCTGCGATCAATCCAGGATTATCGGCAATATGAAGACTCAATTCCCGATGTGATCATTCCAGATCAGAGACCATAATATACAGCTGTTAGAATTACCTCATGAAAGATTCATGTTTATCCCTTCATGCCTCGAATGAATGAAATATCCCATTAGTAATCCCTCCAATGTCATCTCATTACACAAAATCCACGACTTTTGTTGACGACATTATGTGATGAGATTGAATTTGATCCCCCTTCAGCAAACTCAAAGGGGCTATTCGGGAAATTCTAAATATTCCATTAAATATGTAGTAGAACGTATGGAAGGTCATATTACAAAAACGGAGCGAACGTAAAATTGGGTCAACTCTGACGGTGAAACTGCCTCACCTCCGCCCGCCCGTCACCCCTTTCTCGGGAGTAGAGGTAGTTCACTTGACTTCTCGATTCCCGAAAGCCCTGGAGCACGATTCGCAGTCTGTGACCCATCTTCCTCTCTGTTTCCCCAACCCCCCTGTGACCCTACTTCACTGCCAATCGGTCATTCTATAGGGTGCAGCTCCAACATTTGATGCGATTCACGTTATTTTTTCTCTTTCTCTTTTTATCGCTCTTCTACTGACGATTTTTTATTTGTTTGATTTGAATTGGTGTCCCATTTTTATTTATAGTCATTCGAATTTCATTGGATGAGAATAAAATAAATCGTGAAGGAATGAAACTGTTATGTTTGCGATACGTTGGTTTTTTTTATTTCTATAGTAAAGAGTAACGGCTTGTTTGAATGGAAAAAAATATGATAATAACTAATGGAATTCAGAATAGAGCATCTAATGGCAATTGTGAGACTGGATTTATTAAAGTTTAATAAATGAAAAAATACTTGAGCTTGTACTCACATTGGCCATCAGTGTACATAATGTCAACGACGGGAGGGAGCCAGCCAACAGTCTCCACCGAGAGTGACGGTCCTCTCTCTAACCACGGACATTTCCTGTCGATACAATCCATCTACCGGAAGTACCGTGGACTCGCCACTCACCACGGTTATTCTGACGATACTCCATTATCTTTCATGTGACATGTCAAAAATTCAATATTATTTCATCAACATATTTGAAATTTTGAAATTTTCTCGTTCAACTCATTGAATTTCCCCAATGTCATTCCATTTTGACACGATAAAGTAGACAATGCAGAATGAAGGTAGCACATGAATAAAAATATAACGCTAATATTCACTATGGAAACGAGTCGATGAGGAAAGAAAAAAAAATGTGAAAATGCGTTAAACGGAAATGAGATATCCTTCAGGAAGCATTTCCTAAACATACAGTATACATGTATACACATACATTCACAGTGTGACCCCGAGTGTGACGCGATGCTATCAGAGTTTTATGAAACTCGCTTTTTCAAATTCTATCGGATAGTATTGATTTTATTGACATACGCATACTCGATATTCCCCCAAAATGAAGAATGCAAAATTACTATATTTCTTATTCATGAAAATTGAAATTCATTTATAGACAAACACTTCTCTAGAAAACAAAAGCTCTAGTTCGCTCAGTCCCAGAGGTCTCAACCCCATTTCGTTTCTACCTGTATCATATATCTCTGGCTCTTGAATTCAACATTTCGACCATAGCGTATTTTCTCGTTTTCCCCTCATATCTAAACGGAGATGAGCATTGAAAGCGAGAGAGAGAAAGAACAACTCAAGTGTACATCGGGCACTCGTACTTGAATGAGCACTGTAAACAACCGAGAGCTCGGAGGAAAGTTTATTGAATTATGAGATGATTCTTCGAAATTTTATTTCAGGAGCTAACAGAGCAGTAAATTCAAAAAATAAGCAAACATTTTCAGAAAGACTTTAAGGAGTTTATTATAATGCTGACATTGACAGAAAAATGAATTATGAGAAAATTACTCTTAATTTCATTTTGACATCTAACAGGGCAGTATAATTTGATGTTGGAATTGAAAAAAATATATTCAAGTTGATAGTAAATTGCAATTGAAACTAATATTGTTCTTTAACGAGTATTTTTTCCCTCAAAAGTGCCACGTCACTTCCACACTTATTTTTATTCAGTTGAATAAACCCCAACTTTCCGTCCAGCTTTCCACACACCGTATGTTTTTGTTGTCCCCTTGACAGCTGTCCTATAATGTCTGAATGGCCATGCGCGCTCACCAGGCAACTGAGGATTTATCGAGCCCGAGGGAAATGGATTTGTATCATACGGAGGAAACAAATGACCGTGTAAATTGGATGAAAGATGTATCAGTTTTTTTTTTTGTCAATGGGCTCGACAAATTCAACCACTGCATCTCCCTCATCAACGAGAAATTTTATTATAATTACCCAGATATTCATACGGTTTCAATTACCCTAGATTCAATCGATTTTCAACGCGAATCGAGTTAAGTAACATCGTCATTATAATTGAAATCTAGCATCCCTCTAACTATCACAACTAGAATGTGGTTGGTGTACAATCGAGAGAAGAGAGGTTACGTGTTCCACTTTGCTGGGAGGACCTTCGGTATTCCCGCAAGCGGAAGCTGTTCTCTCGAGTGTGAACCCGTCGTAAATGCCATCCCATCCGTACGACCGAGAGGACGATATACAAGCGATTCTAACGCGCACACATGCACACACACCTCTTCAACTCTGTATTACATGCCTCCCAGATTCAAGACAGTATCACACTTTTTTTTTTGTCCACCTAGATGTATTCCATATCGCTATCACTCGAGAAGTTTGCTCCATTTTACACTCTACATATAATGTGAAACCCTTTTCGAAAATATTTTCACTTGTCTCGCCTTGAATTTCGAAAATCAAGCGTTCGAATTTTCAGTGGCCTCGCGTTATTTCGCGGATCGCCAGAGCCTCGTAAATTCTTTGCTCACCCCCCATCCCCTTCTGTGGATATTTATGGCACCTATTTATGGTACCAAACTCCTTCGACCCCAAGTTTCAACCTCTCGCCACCCCTTTCCACTGCTCTTTCATGAAAAAGAAAAATACAAGTTATGCTTGCGGGGATGATTTATTGGCATCTAGAGAATTGTCTGTTTCGTTTAATCCACTTTTTGGGACAGAATGCGGGTTTGGGATAGGTCATGTGAGGGATTTTAATCGATGAGAGTAACTGTGCTCCCAGTGGTAAATATATGACTGTGGATGACAATTACTGCTTGGACTTTATTTTTATTGTACATGTCACTATTGCCTGTTTATCTGGCTTTCATGTCAACGGTTCACGTGTTGAAGTTTTATCATGTCAGTTATGACCACCTCAACATAAGGCTTCGCAAGCCCCTATCGTATCGGTGATACACCTCTTTCGCCGCAGGCGATGACCCGCGAATAAAGTTCTCGCTCCTCAGTAACAACTCCAGGAATATCGACCTCTGCGCGTTCACCGACCTGTCGCAGCACGCGAGAGACAGTTGTAGTTTTAACTCGGATATTTTGGAGCATTAATGACCCGTGAATATTTAATGCGAATAATTGAATGTGCAAATGACGGATGATAATTTTTTATTGGATTTTACAGCTCGCCGACTGAACGAATATATACGACATTATGAGCCTCTCTCATATTCAACTGACGAGCTGCATCGGCATCACTTGAGAGCCAAAAGATCAGTAGCACGTGACAATGCAGTTAATTTAAAATTTCACGCACACGGAAAGGACTTTCACATACGACTTAAAAGAGACTTGAGTACATTCAGTAATAATCTTGTAATTGAGGGTCCATCTGGTGAGGTTGAGGACCTAGATACATCACATATTTATGAGGGTCACTTACTTGGTGAGTTTTTTCATTTAATCTGTTGAAACATGTACGTTAAACATATCCATATTCCATGTTCAAGGCACTTTACATGAGAAGATTTTCTCATTCCCCCAAGTGAAATAAAATGGGAAAAAGGATTTAAAAATTCTCCGGAACCATCACAATTTTAATAATTTGCATTTCAATGCTATCTTATAGTTAAAAACTAAGTTTGGCATGGAAATTAATTTTTCGTCTGCGAAATTGCCGAGTTCCTTCAACAGAGAAATGCATACGAATTTCGTCTCAATTTTTTTTTTCTCCCAATGCTAGAAAGTTTGAGATGAATAAAGTAGGGAGAAAAATGAATCTTTCGTGTTCTCGAAGATGCGGCGACATTCTTGACATTTAGAATGAAAATTAATTTTTCAGGTGAACCAAATAGTCAAGTCTTTGGTAGTATAAGTGACGGTGTTTTTCATGGTCATATAAGATCCCCGCGCCATGGTGTATGGTTTGTGGAGCGGGCACACTACTACTTCCCGCCGCAAGCCATTAATGAGTCCCACCACTCTGTCATCTACCACGAGAATGACGTCGTCGATCCTTTTGCAGACAAACGAGAGGGTACGTGTGAATAATTATCAATCAATTTATTAATCCTTAATCGCCAGAATTTACCCTTAAACAAAGGCCGAGGGATATGTGCGTTATGTACAGAATTCGGTGGAATGACCCGTATATGTATATATATATATATATATGTGACAACGGGCTTTCGTCTTCCAGTTGGGTTGAGTTTTGCGACCCTTTGTGAGCGCCTCCCCGGCAGTAAGCGCCTTCAGCCCCCGGCTTATACGTGGGATATGCCAGTACATATAGAGTCGCCGGCGTTATTTTCTACAACGTTTAGCGTAAACTCTTGGAGGGGCATTCAAGCGAAATACGAAAAAAAACGCAGTTGAACAAAACGATTGAGGGAGAATATTATTAAGAGATGGAATCTAAATTACATTCAACAAATAATACGAACGAAACTCTCGCTCAGTTGACTTTTCCAATCTTCAATGCGTCAAGAATAACCGGGAAGAATGAATAAAAATAGAAAAGGGTCCAGCACGAGAGAGGGCCACTCGAAAGAACATAGATTTTCCGTCTGAGTTTTCGTCTTTATGGGTAGTTGTGTAAACAGTGGTGCTTAAATAAACATAGTCATATCGTGGTGCAATATTTATCGTCCCTCCGTGCCCGAGCGGATCTTGCCAATGCTGTATACATATAGGTTTGTGTTTGTGTGGGAGTGCGCGGTTTTCCATCTCTGTTTTCATCCCCTTCCTCCCTCTTTTCGTTCCTCCTCTTTACCCCGGCGCGTTATGAATCTACAACATTAACGAGACGCTTTCCGCCGGGCGCATAAATTTCATGGAGTTTCACTCCCGCTATCCAACGTTAGAAGCGACGAGGATTTCTAGTATACATTTTTTTCATAAAAATATATTTTTCATTTCCACTCATTTTATTCGTGGAAAAAAAAAAGTCATAACCCACTACAATGTGAAATGTTTTCGTGATTCCATTTGTTCTTATTCTTCATTGGTGAAAAATATTTTCCCCTGCAGTTATGCATTCGTAAATTCAACAACGTTATTGTAAAAAATAATGGTCAATTGGTGATGAATCAGACGCCCAGTGAGTCATTAAAATTTTCCTCTCACCATCGATGAGAAGCCATAAACCCACTCCAGGATTATGCGTCAAAGCGAGGCAATATTTCATGATGAAGATGAATATGTATATTACCCGCAAGCATCACCGCAGTTTTCATACTATTTTATTTTTGAAATAACGAAACATCAAATGAAAAACGAATCATTCAATACGGACGTATCGATTTCCCGTTTTTTATTCGACGAAATGTTCTCTATCCTATCGGAAATGTTCCCTATATATTCCTGAAATCGTAAAAATCCTCTGGCTCCACATCGGATACCCGGAATTTATCAAATGTGCTGAGAAAGCCATCCCCAACCAAATAGCACCCTGTGTTCATTCAAGATGCTCGGAATAAACGTTAGCGAGTAATAGAACATTTTTGTTCTACTGCTGGACGCGCACTGCCGGTGAAAACGATGCCCTAGGGAATGTCGAGACGAGTTTTGTTATTGCTAAAAGCGCAATATACGCCATGAAAATGAGCGATGCAAGCACTTTGGGTATTCCGTCGTTCATTTTGAAATTACATGGCTAATTAAACGTATGTGTCAAGTATTGGGCATTTTTCAGAGATTGCTCATCAATTCCTTCATAACAATTTCGCATGACACTGGTGATGTATTTTTAGGTGAATTCAATTTCCATAAATTTGAATTCTCCATCAATTCACCATACGCGTTGGATTGAAGATAAGAGGGTAACACGTAGCTCTGATATCGGTGCGTCCTGTATACATGAAATCGCGTATGAATCTTGAGAGAAGACGTGCCTCTATGAGAGACGGTCACACACTTAACCGCCTTCTGCGTCTATCTTGTCCTAGAATCCAGCAGCACACAGCTATCAGGGTTGAATATATAGCAGTTTAACTACAGCAGAACGGTCATGCTACAGACACCCCCTCCTCTGAGTATCTTCAAATGTCGTAATGAGTATAGATCGCGAAACCTCATTTCCTAAAAACAAAAAAGGATAAATAAATTTAGAGAAATATTTGATTGATGATTTTCATCTTCAGGTGGTGCCAGTGGTTGTGGCATCACGGACAAGGTGGCGGAATGGATGGACAGGGTTCAGAATTCGGGTGAACCTGATGTACCTCCACCACCATCAACAATGGATTCAACATCAGGGCACTTGATGGGAGAGAGATCGAAGGAGGCACGCTGGAGTGGGAAACCAGAAACGCCCGGTCACAAGTACACAAGAGAGGCGAATAGAGAAATGGATGAGCAGCAACACAGAAGGAGTCGAAGGGCAACAAGTCCACAGGAGGACAAACGTAACACCTGTGCACTGTCTATTCGAACGGATCCCTTTATCTGGCGACACATTTCCGATCATGTAAGTATTTTTCACAGAATTATGGATTCATATCTCCCTTCCCTGACAAGATTAAAGCCAGCAAATCTCCATTGAAATATTTAAAGATGAAAAAACGCTGGGAGGGAAAAAAAATGAAAATAAAAAAAATAAAAATTGAGAGTGAAGGGAGAAAAAAGAAATTTATAAAAAGAGAAGGAGAAATAATTATTCACAGGCTAGTGGCTTTAGTACTCTGTGCGCTATCACGAGGCTTTGCATAGTCCGCAAATACTTTGAATGTTATGCTTCCCCACAATTTGCTCCCTCTCTACATGTACTAGAACACACCCCTTTTAATCGCAGTGTGCTATGCAAGTCAGAGGCACCGGTCGACTCGCCATCTCTCTATCCAAAATCAATAAACCTACATATAAATTCTACCAAAGCTCTTTAGACTTCTATTCGTCTCCCCCTTCTTCTCTTTGAGTAATATTTCCGATCCTCTTACAATTGAGCATTGATCTCCCGCAGGACTCTTCCCATCAATTTATTTATGTATCTACATTCCATTTATCCCTGTTTACTTTTTACTTCTCAGCTTCAACGAGATCCGGAGAAAACCAGAGAAGAAATCCTATCTTTGATAGCACATCATGTAACAGCAGTGAATTACATATACCGAGACACTCGGTTCGATGGAAAAATACCGCACAGAAATATAAAGTTTGAAGTCCAGAGGATAAAAATTGATAACGATACTGCCTGCTCTCATCCATCAGATCCAAATTCCAATGTATTCTGTCGGGATAATATCGACGTTTCCAATTTTCTCAATCAACACTCATTGGGAAATCACGAAGACTTTTGTTTGGCTTATGTATTCACATACAGAGACTTCACAGGAGGCACCCTTGGACTCGCCTGGGTGGCATCAGCTTCCGGTGCATCTGGTGGCATATGTGAAAAATACAAAACATACACTGAAACAGTAGAGGGAATGTATCAGTCGACAAAGAGGTCTTTGAATACTGGAATCATTACATTTGTAAATTATAATACACGCGTACCACCGAAAGTTTCGCAACTGACGCTTGCACACGAAATTGGACATAACTTTGGTTCACCCCACGATTTTCCCCCTGAATGTCGACCCGGTGGACTACATGGTAATTATATCATGTTTGCATCAGCCACCAGTGGTGATCGACCCAATAATAGTAAATTTTCAAAGTGCAGTATCAGTAATATAAGCAATGTTCTCGATGCAATGGTGGACAATAAGAAACGCAACTGTTTTGGCACCTCCGAGGGCGCATTCTGTGGCAATAAAATTGTCGAGGCTGGGGAGGAGTGTGACTGTGGATATGATTATGTAGAGTGTGTGGACAAGTGTTGCTACCCTAGGCAACCTACTGACACCTCAGATAAACCTATGAACCATAATGACACCTCTAAGAGATGTCAGAGACGCGCTGGAGCCCAGTGCAGTCCCAGCCAGGGGCCCTGTTGCTCCAGTGACACTTGTCAATTTGTCCCAGCGTCGGCGAGAGTGCAGTGCAAAGCTGAATCAGATTGCAGTTATGATTCAATGTGCAATGGAAGTTCAGCCGAGTGCCCGCCATCGTTACCCCGGGCGAATAAGACGAGGTGTAATGAGGGAACACAGGTATATTTAACTTATTGATCCAAAACACAAAACTACTCTTCACTATCCAAACTTTCAAGTTTATCATTCCTCCAGCTTCTTTCTGAAGAATTCCAGAAATATTCACTCGGGATATTGTTTCTCGCACTTGCAGAGAAAATTCCGTGAAACTATTTGGAGTCAATGACTCCAAACCGAAGCACTACAAAGGAAAAAGCTTTTCACTAGAGAATGAAATATTGTTATGCCAGTCTTTTCGCGTGCATAGTTGTTGAATTTCAAAGTTTTTATTATAGTTTTCGAGTGTTTTGTTTTTTAGGAGGTAAATGAAAAATTCCCCGACAATGTGAATTTTTCACTATGATCAATGCTTCAATAATCCCTTGAATTAAAAAAATGTAATTAATAAACCGAAACACCGCTGTATAATCCACTCAATTGATTTTCATTCTCTCGCCACACGGAAAACTCCACAGAGCGTATTTTTCATGCCCGCTTGTCGATTTAATTTGAATCGGAATGAATGAGCTCTAAGTGCTCTCTTTCCATGGCAATTCAATCTCATGGGGATTATCTCTGTAAATTAAAAGTTCTATTTTCACTGGAATTGAATGGATTCCACTGCAAAGACAGATAAATCATTGCAACTTGGTCAAATAAATTATCTTCAATAATCGATTTTTTATTACAGTTATGTATCGATGGTGAATGTACAGGATCAATATGTCTGGAATGGAATATGACAGAATGTTTTTTGACAAGCAACATTATTCCCAATATCGACAAGAGAACTTTATGTGAATTAGCGTGTCAAAATGGTACCGACGCGTCAACCTGTCGCAGTACAAGTGAATTTGCACACATTGTGGGCCTGCCAAAGGGGGGAATTAGCTTAAGACCAGGTTCTCCATGTGACAATTTCCAAGGTTATTGTGACGTATTTCTCAAGTGCCGTGCTGTAGATGCTGAGGGACCTCTGGCGAAATTGAAAAATTTATTATTCAATAAAGAGACCTTGTTGACAGTGGCACAGTGGGTTACCGTGAGTTATCCAACATATTCGATAATATGAATCATTCTTATGGATCAATTTTTCACTGATATTACTCGAATTCTCTTTCAGGAGTACTGGTGGGCGGTTTTATTAATGGGTATTGCGTTTATTATATTCATGGGGCTATTCATCAAATGCTGTGCGGTTCATACGCCCTCGAGCAATCCAAAGAAACCACCAGCGAGACGAATCAGTGATACTTTGAGGAGGCCTATGAATACTCTTCGAAGAATGGTTGGTCAATAACTTTCTCTCAATGCTCTACTAATTCCTATTCTTAAAGATGAAATAATTTTTTGTCTTTAAATTGAATTTCTTCAATTGTTACAAAATTTAATTTCAGCGTCATCCCCACGGTGGCCATCCCCCAGGCCCAAGGAGCATTCCTCCCCCAGCGCAGGGACGCAGCCATGGGAGTCGTGGTCCCTCGCACGGCTATGGAGAAGGCCGAGGTGCTCAATACTATCCAAAAGGTAAACAAATCTCTCGAGTGGTTAATAATCAATAGAGAAAACTTTTTCGATCGAGTGTGCTCTCAAGTATCATCAATCACCCTGGAAAAAAAATACCCTCCGTGCTACGTTCAAATGTAAAAAGTCATGTGCCTCCCACTCACATGAGCAAACTCGATGGGAGAAGAACATTTCATCTCACATCATTTTTATTCCCCTTGTTCAATTGTACTGTACCTGCTACTATATTAATGTATTTCTCCTGTTTGCATCTATCCCCATCACATTGACGCGCATCACTATTGTTCTATGAGATACAGAGGTGAGCCGGGGCTTAAAAAAGATATCCAACTCAAGTAAATACAGGAATATATGAGAATAAATGGTTGTGATAGGATTATCCCTTGATATATCAATCTATGTATTCTTGTATTTGCTTCTCCATAATACTTAGAAATCATATCTATATGAGACATTTCATTTTTTATTTTATAAATGTTTAATCGGCATGTTCAAGACTCTCGTTTGCCCAGCGTGATGAAAATAAAATGAATAAAAAAGCGGCATGAAATGTCTCATATTCTTTCTCTTGTACAGATTCACCTCAATGTCCAAAAATAATGATATTAACGTTAACTCTGAAAATATTTCATACATTAGAAATTAGAAATATGATAACGAATAAATTTCTAAACAGGATATCGCTCGGTTCCCACAGCTAGTGCACCCGCAAGCGGCTCATCAAGCCACAGTCGTTCCAATCACCCAGAATTGTACGCCGGCGCCTATTCGGGCTCCGGGGGAGGGGGGAGGGGCCCAGCCTACGAGATGAGACACCACAACAACAAGGTGTGATCAGCTTTACCAGCGTCAAGTCTTTAACAGTAGGAATTATCAAATTTAGTCAACGGAAATTTACCCACAATGGTAAATTCATGTGAAATGATAAACGAACGATAACAGAAGTGATATCTGAACCTCGAAAATGATATGGGCCGTAGATTGACAATGAGAAAAAAAACAAATGTTTAAATAATTTCTCGTGATTTCTTCCTGTAGTAGAGGATGTGATGCGTAAGTGTCATGATGTGTCAAGGGCCCGCGATAAAGACTTATAGAATGGAATTCTTGGTGTTACGAACAAAATAGGTATTATTAAGAGAACAAAAAAATAATAATGAAAAAAAAATCAATGGAGATTGCCACTCTTTTTCCTGAAGTCTCTAATGATATGGCCACTAGGTCAAGCTAGCAGCTGATTAAATCACCGAAAATCTTCGTGTAATCTAGTTGAAATACAGTTTCGATAGAGTAATCCTGGGCATATCTAATAATTGATTATCAAATTGTATTGATTAGATTAAATTTTCTAGGATTAATTGGTTTGTAATGGATAGGAGGAATATTTCTATTATGTGCAAAGATTAACAAGACAAGCTGAATATTTTTTCTTCACCATGACGATATTTTTCCGGTGATAAAAATGACGTTGAAACGTTACCAAAACATTGTCACAGGTCATTCAATTGATCTCCATACAATTGTAGTAAATAGTAGTTACATGATATGTATTATTCTTATATAATAATTTTTATTAGATAAATTATATGAGTAATCGGTAATGGAAATAATGCCTCCTCGAATGAAATAATTTATAGCTGATGAAGAAAATACTAGTGTATATTCGATTATATAACGATTAATAGTTAGCAACTGTCATTGATTTTTACCTACATTAATATCGGTTGAATATTGAAGTTCATAATTTATATGACTTTTTATTAATTCGAATGGGAATTTTCTCGTTTTGTTGTTTTTTTTCACAGCGAGTAAATTATTTCAATGTATAAAGAAGGATTTATAAATACATATAAATATAGTAGGGCGCTTTAAGCGAAGGTCATGGTGGACCAAAGAATTAAATTATCGTAAATTCTGTCTGGCTGGAATCGTATGAAAATATTCGTTCTTCTTCCGACAATTTTTAGAATCATTTTCTATTATTGAATTCGCTGATGTTGAGATATTTTAGTAAAATATCACAACAAAGTGAATATAGCAAATGATGCATATACTTGATAAGGCTGATTATATACTCTCAATTTTAGATGTTTAGAGTTTCTACATTCCAGGCCAAGGTTCTACAATAATAATTCATTAAAATAATTCTTTTGCTACATTTATTTTCAAGGTACTGTATTTATTACAACGGAAGAGACGAGCCATTTAGATTCTGATCACAACAATTGACATTAATTAAAATAAGTATAATCATCAATGATGGCAGAATTGAATTTCAATGGCAAGCTGATGTTACTTGATTCAATATTTATTGTCGTGTTTCTTTAGTTGCAGTTGAGAATGAAAAATTCCTGTGGCCATGCCAAAAATAATTTAAACAAAATCAATATTGCAATGTAACCAACAACTGAGGATGATTGTGGGTCAAATGACAATGTATTATAGATACAATGTGATTAAAATGATAGAAGAGGTGAATTATGACATAACAGATGTATAACATGACATGAAAGATGACAGTAGAAAATGAAGACTCAAAAAATAAAGATTAACAAGCAAAAACTGTGGAGATAATAGCGTAGTGTATGTGTGTGTGTGAAAGTGTGAGCCATAGAAAGAAATGCAAGAATGATGAGGGGAAAAAAATTTGTAAATATATTGATATTATATATAAATCGTAACTATAAACGTAACATTACGACGAGATGAAAATGAGCAAAAAAAATTGATTGTTTTTATATCAGAAACTCTGTATGATAGCGGAATAATTCTGTATTTTGTAATTGGTACTCTGGATGAGATTAATCATTCCACATTCATGTAACATTTTTCTATGTGCACAAAAAGGAAAGAATGTGGAATGTAAAATTTAATTTTCAAGGTGACACCTTAATGAATAAAGGCTTTCATCAATAGGTGAATGTCGATTTTTCAACTTGTCAAGTAAGTTTTACTTGATGAGGATTTTATCTAAGCCTGCGGCTAAGGTGCATCAAGCTGTATAAATGTTCAAACAACTAACGGTAGCATAACGAGAGCTTTATCAAAAGAATGTTTGGATTGATTCATAAATAATTTAATTGGTTTTTTTCCGTCATGTATTATTTTTTTGGAACAAATTTATTATACTGCCATTTTCTTCATCAGTGATTGTACCACAGAATGAAAGATTTCAAAGAGAGAAATAGAAAAAAAAAAGCGAATTATTTGCTGAGAGCAATGAAGGACTCACTGCCAAGCTAGTTCACCATCTTTCAGCCTTCTAATAATGGTCACAAATTGACAATTTATTACTGCTTCCAGTTCACTGCCAAAGGATTCGTAACTGTGGCATATCCGTAATTTATTGAAAAAATGCGCAACAATAGGAACTTATTCTTTTCAATTTTCTGAATTTTTCTTTTCGCTTTTATCAAAGAAGAAATATGTTGGAAAATAAATGGGTATAAGCTCTCGTTGGTAGTTGAATAATATTGCTTGCATGTGTGAGAGTAAAGCAAAGTGTGCGATGATACGCGTGAAAAACGAGTAAAATATTTAAATTTCCTCCAATTATTTTTTGCCCCTGAAAAATCCCCTTCAACAGGCTATCTCTATTAAAAAAAATCCCCCTTCAGTGCTTAAAGGCTTCGTTTCAATCGTGATACGATGCATTTATATCTATCACCTGTACATATAACGTCAAAGGAAGAAACAAATGTGGGAAGGAGAGAAATTAACAAATTTTAAATTATATTTTTTCTATCAATCCAAAAAAAGGACATACTTAAAAAAGATGAATGGATACGAATGGGAAAAGTGTAAAAAATGTAATGGATTTATTGACATTGTGCATCCGATTTCAGTTTCAATTGATTTTTATCCTCTCTGACAATTGAAAGAGTTGATATTAATTTGGCTGTTTCTGTACAGAAATCATTAACGAATATATATACTTGAGAAACAGTTGCTTGGATATCATGAAACACCAAGTGGCCTTTGCTTTCTTTCATACGTTGAATCTTCCCTCTCTTTCTGTTCCTAAAATCTTCGTCGAAATAAACTCATTATTTTATCAAGCATGAAATAGTAATGACCAATTGTCTCGACGTAGTGTCTGAAACTCTTTCCCTTTTACTCGATTAAATGAACAAAGAAATACACAAAATATTTAGGGCAGGATGTGTTTTATGACTATTTAATCATTGAAGATGAACAAAAAACACTATGATTGTAAATCTCTTTTGTGCTACGTTAATGTGATTACTGATTAAACAAAAAAAAAAAAAGAAAAAAAGAAAAAAAACATTGTAAAGAATTAAATAAAGGAATACATTTTACATTACCACTGGTCTCACAATTATTACTCAATGAAAGATCCAAAAAAATTGGCACCAATTACGCCTTTATTATTATTTTATAAACTATTGTAAAATAGTTTTAATTTACATTAAAAATGCTGACTACATTGTTGATACATCACCATATCATTGATCTCCTTCTAATTAAATGACATGAATTCCTATGATTCCAATGAACGAATGACCAACTCATTAAGTATATTTATCAAATTGAAATAAAAATAAACACCCATTGAAGAAAAAAAAATACTGAAACATAAAATTATATTACTCTACGGTGACTCTATAATTACGATATACGCATAGTAATCATGATTAAATAGTGATATTGAAAAGAAAAATGATAAAAAATAGGCTACTTGTACTTGAGAAGGAAATAATGCTCTCAATAATAATTTCCCCATTGGATTGAAGAAAATGAAGTCTTGTGTAATTGCAAAGAGTTGATCAAGGGACGGTTACCCGAGGAAATAATAAATTACGCTTGTGCATTCTCGAGTTTATAAACGTCATGATAGGCATTACGTATGAGGGCATATGGAAAACAACTCTCTAGTAAATCCATCGTCAAAAAGGGTGATTCCTGGACAATTTGATCCAGCAATAGATAACTTGATTCACGATTTTTCGTTGCCTCCTTATCAGTTTCCTGTCCCAGTCTGAGTAAACTCGACGACGCAAGAGCCAAAAATTCCTTCATCCTGTCCTCAATATCATTCTGCCCACAAATAGTGAACAATGCTCCAAACATATTATTTATCGCTGTCGCCATACAGTGGATATTGTTCGAGTGTCCTTCCAGGGAAGCTCGATAGAATGAATTTTCATTACGCGCTAACTTTGGAATTGAAACAGCAACGAATACCATGAGAAGACAAACAAGTAGATGCTCGTCCTCATCGACTTCCGCCTTTTGGCTTCTCAATGCAGCTGTCAATGTGGGATCAACTTTGCAAGTTAATCCGGCAGCAGATGTCATTTCAGAGACAACTCTCATGGGATCACCAGAGGGTAAATGATGTCTGAAGTCGAGGATCGAGCTCAGAAGAAAGGGTATTCTCTCCTCAAGAACGTCGACAAGAGCTGATTGTGACAATTGCCTGAAACTGAGTATAACTCCAATGATGGTGACCCTCTGGAGTACATTATCCACTTGTTGTAGTTTCTTGAACTGCTCCTTCATAACTTCAGGTTTATCAAAATTCGTCCTAAGTGCAACTAAAACCTCCTTATTTCCAGCAACAAGTTTCTTGAGCTCCTGGACTTGACTGGCAATATGCCACATGAGAGTCTCATTCAACATTTTCATGCCATAAGGCCCAATTAATTCAGCGAGTGCTCGTAACTCATTGATATCCGAAAATTCCTCGGCATTAAACGGAATAGCACCTTCAACAGAGAGACTAACGAATGCCCGTTGATTGGGTGAATAGCAAATATTTCCAGCACTGACTCTCCTCAGAAGAACCTCAGAATACCACTGGGTATACAGAGCAGCAATGGTTTTATCTCCATGGCTGTCCAACGCCTGTGTCTGCTGGAGCAATGCATTATTGAAGACACGTGTTATATCGATGTGTACATAATTCTCAACAGTCTGAAGAACATTCATATACGCCCTAACACTGACAAACAATTCAGAAGGTTTGGCAATTTCATTCGCCTCAGGATTGAACATGACCATTCCCACCAGTGCTCTGGCAAATCTCGTCTCCAAGTGTTGATTCAGATATTCACGTGGGGCAAAGGTGTACTCCCACACGTTAATAGTGGGACAATAATTAATAGCGTAACACAGTTCAGTGAGTGCCATGTGAAGTTTATCCATTGTCGTGAGCTCCTCGCGTGTCTTTCTGTAGCTCTCAATGCCGGGCTTGTGTATCTCATAAATATTCTTCTTATTCTTGTCCTTTTTTTTACGATTAACAACCTGGGAGATTAATTGAGCACAATGTTTAGCTAGTAACTTATCACTCATATTGCACTGTTCGTCGCAAATTGTCGTAATTATATTCTTTGCCTCCTTAGCCATTTCATCGAGAAACATGTTGACTACGGAGAGACTTCGCTCGCGAATATGATGACGTTCTTCCGGGCAAAGTTCATGTGTGCAGCTCTGAAAATGACTGCAGATCAATGGAAAAGCCACGATGTAACGATTCTGGGCTGGAAATTCCAGACACATGTGAAACTGATCCTCAAATATTTTACTATAAAAACAGAAGATCGAGAGGTCCGACGTTTCAACGAGCATTTCATCCAGATTATCCACCATTTTAGTGTGAAAAACAACAGTATCCATGAAACACGCTAGTTCCCGATTGTCCATGAGATTCATATTGCATTTGGAGATGGACATGTAGGCTTGGAGTCTCACCCAGTCCAATCTCAAAGGTCTAAAATCGAATAATTCATTCTCCTCTACCTGTTTAACAGTGACACTGGCTATTATTGAGCAGAGATCACTCAGAATGGCCCCTTCGTCCTCTGGACAGACTGGCAGATTCTGAATCATCTGGTGGAGGGCTGGAGCATCGAAACCAGAGAGAAACTGGACATAGTATCGTTGCAGTACTTGAGAATACTTTCGAACGAGAGCTCGTAGTTCCTCGCAGTGGAAAAGTAGCTCTGGAAGCTGTCGATCAACCAAATCCTCACTCCCCCTTCCTTTACTTTTCCCCTGTGTTGGTGGATTGTCTCCGTGCCGTAGAAGCCAGAGAACTTCGTCTCGAGAGTGGGACAGTCCCATGAAGACCAGCAGTGCCTTTGGACCCAGCAGTCCAGGCTGATCAGTCAAAATCAGTCCCAATTCCTTCAACGCTGTCCTCAAGAATTTTCGTCGTTCCCTGTGTCTGTAGCCAGCCTTCTGTATCGCCTGAGTGTAACATTCCTTGACTTCGGACACCCTTTTACCATATCCCTTGATCCCTTCGAAGAAGGATTGAATGTACTGATGAATATAAATAACTTCGTCTCTGAATAACGCCAACACCCAGCCAGACTCCAGCGCTGTTGTCCAGAGTTTATTGGGCTGCTCCTGCGCCAGGAATGAGTGACACAAAGCGAATCCCAGGATAACCCATCTTTCAATCCTATCCAGACTCAGGGTTTCACAGGACATAGTGTCTGTTGCTGCTGCCTTGAGTATCTGCCCAGGACTGCCAACGAGACTGAGTTTCTGATCAGCTCTCCAGGTATCTGCTGAGAGATTCCTACCTGGGTAGACGTTCCACAGAGATGTCAATGCATTTCTCAGTAATTTAGAATGGGGCACGAATTCTTCAGAGAGTTTCTTGAGTGGCATGTCGTAATCCATGATCATTTGACCTAGTCGAGGGAAACTGTGGTCAGACTGGCTGTGCACCATCTCGTGGGCAGCATTGAACAGCCCCAGCACTGCTTTTCTATCCTCAACTTTCGATAAAAGTATCATCAAACTCACGTAAGTGATCACGAGGTCCAGATATGCTTTAGTCAAGTCAAAGTTTATTGTTATGTCCATGTGCACTCCACATGCATCCATAGTCGTTAATAATTCACAGACATTGTCCTTGAAATCCAAAAGGTCGACGAATGTGTAGTAATAGAGGGACAGGGATTTGATTATCTCGTTTCTCAGGTTTGTTATCGTCTGGAGTCCTTTTACATCGATATTGGGGAATTTACGGACGATTGTTTTGATTGATGACTCGAGAGTTTTGTCGGATAAAAATGCGGGCTTTGATTTAGCATCACCACATGCTTTTTTAATGTTATAGATACGGGTGAGCATTCCAGTCCCACGGTCATTGAGAATTATCAACTTCTCCGCCAACTTCTGTTGACTCGGGAGTATTGGACGTGCCATGTTTGTCACTCAATTTTTATTCACTCTTTTTTTCCAAGGAATTGACTTCTCTATTCAGATCCCACTCATGTTCTCGATGTTATGGGGTTTTCATTGGGGTTAACTGATACGAGACCCCACCCTGGGTTACGTTGAATGCGCCGGATGCGATTTGATTGTCGTGGATGCTCCAATGTTTCTAAAAAGAGAGAATAATGCTCAATTAAGTCTGCTGGATTTCGTCAATACCTTTGGCATCACTGGACTCACATTCTGTTCATCGCATACTGGGGATTTTTAGAAGTGTTTGCGATCGCGAATATTAGATGTAATAAAATTACAAAAAGTGACAGATTCACTCGTGTACACAAGACTCATACGACATCGTATGAATCAGGAATTATTATCAATGGGTCATGGACTTTGGAGAGCAGATGGGGAATGGAATGGAAATATTTTTCGGCTGTTGGAGGGTAACGCAGGCAGAGGGTAGCACCTGACGGTGGTCTCCTCTACAGCATAATTCTCAAATAATTATTAATCAAGCAATAGTTAGTTGAAGAATTACATTGTTAGTCACATTTAATAAAAAAATATAACTTTATTAATAAATCAGAGTTTATTAGACATATAAAAATACCACCCCCCCCTTCCCCAAATATCACGACTGCGCAACGTCTCCGCGCATATCCATCATGGCGGCCGCTCCTTGCCACTGAACGCAGGCTTTGGCGTTCGTTCCGCCTATTTTCGGTGAAAAAAGGGCATTAAACCGGAAAAAAATTATTAATCATGCCACAATCAGTTAATATTGACGGCAAGGAAAGATTTTATCAACAAATCCGACCTCATTATTGCATATTATAAAGCCTGGATGGCTAAAAAGTGCAATGCCAAATTTTGCCATTGCGCAGCTCCTCCGCGCACATCCATCATGGCGGCCGGCTACTGGCAGAGAATGGGTGCTTTGGCGTTCGTCCGCTGATTTTTGGTGAGAAAGGGGATAAAACCGGGAAAAAGAATAGTAATCATGCGATAATTAGTTGATATGGGTGGCAAGCAATGATTGTATCAAGAAATTAGACTTGATTATGGCATATTATAAAGCCTAGACGACTAAAAGGTGCAATGCCCAATTTCTCCACTGCGCAACTTCTCCGCGCACATCCATCATGGCGGCCGGCTACTGGCAGAGAATAGGCGCTTTGGCGTTCGTCCGCTGATTTTCGGTGAGAAAGGGGATAAAACCGGGAAAAAGAATAGTAATCATGCGATAATTAGTTGATATGGGTGGCAAGCACTGATTTTATCAAGAAATTAGACTTGATTATGGCACATTATAAAGCCTAGACGACTAAAAGGTGCAATGGCCAATTTCTCCACTGCGCAACTCCTCCGCGCACATCCATCATGGCGGCCGGCTACTGGCAGAGAATGGGTGCTTTGGCGTTCGTCCGCTGATTTTCGGTGAGAAAGGGGATAAAACCGGGAAAATAAATAACAATCATGCGATAATCAGTTAATACTGGTGGCAAGCAATGATTTTATCAAGAAATTGGACTTGATTGTGGCTTATTACAAAGGCTAGACATCTAATAAGTGCAAATGCCAAACATCGCCATTGCGCAACTTCTCTACGCACATCCATCATGACGGCTCTGGCCTTTGGTACTGATCGGCGGCTTTGGCGTTTCTTCAATTAATTCTACAGAAAAAGAGGATAAAACCGTGGAATGAAACATGGACAATTGAACAAGGAGTTTATAATGATGGAGAGTAACGATTTTATGGTGGACTTTGGATTTATTGTGAGGAATTACAAGTGGTACAGGACAAAAATGTCATTTCTACGTGATCAACGTACTTGTGATGTCGTGAGATGGCACCTCCTGTGTAATTCTGGACAACGTGACAGTGTTTTGTGTTTTTTTAATGACTTTATTGACTTTCCAAATAATTAAAAATATAATTCAAGAGTGAAATGACTGTGGAATGAGTGACTGGAATTTTATCAGTGAATTTGGGGTTATGAAGAGTGTCGAAGTGTTTTCGGGAGTTTTGTTATTGCCGACGTGTTGATAAATCCCCAAGATGGGGATCGGTGTGTAAAATCGGTGTCGAGTATTTTTTTTTTGCGCGAAACTATTCGGAGTATTTGAATTAAAAAAATCGCGAGTGAGTGAAGTGGAAAAGTGATAGTGAAGGATGAACGTGAGAAGGCATCTGAACGGGGAATAATCATGGAATTCTGGGAGCTGGATTGGAGTATATGCCAAGCTGCCGGGCGTTTCAACGACCGGTGAGTCACTTAAAATATTTATTTCTTTATTCTTTGCTTGTTGATCTCGATCGTGGATAATTATGAGAGGAGGGAAGAATAAAATGACAAAACACAGAAGTGTCTTCAGTTCGTAAAGGAAGGATAGTCTCAAAAGGTTCTTCCAGCGAATAAATTGAATATTTCGGTATTTCTGACGACTTTGTTGCCCAGGAATGTCGAATACATTTGTTAGGCTTCTTTCCATTTTCCATTTTTTCTTCAAGTGGAGATCAACGATACTTTTGTCGTTATAAAATGTTCATAATTATAGTTAGTCACGATTCCCCATGCAAGATATTCCATCAATTGGGGGGAAATTTTTTTAAACCATTCATTAGATTTATTAAGGATTCTCTGAAAAATTGTTGAAGTATTTTTGAAATACTACTGGTGTTCGTGGGTTGTCTCTGTATATTGTTATTAACATTGCGTGCGGTAATCCATGCCAGTTTCCCGCCATTCGGTTCGGTCAGGAATAGAAAAGTTAGAGTGTGGAACATTGCTATCAAAGTACACCCCAGTATTTTCTCGATTGACAGCAGATAAATGAGGAATTCTATAGTGATGCAGACGGGAATAGAAAGTGACTTTATCCAGTGATTCTTCCATATTTGGTCACTCTTTTCTAGTTTGTGTGGTCGAAGCCATTACAGTCAACAAAATTTGATGCAAGTGTGTGTTTAGAATTATCAGTTAGGCATTATATTCGAAAATAAAGCAGGCTCAGATTCATTCGGCTGATCAAATTTATTGAGGATTGAATGAGCAGAGGTGAGGGATTCAAAGTATTGATCTCCAAAGTTCCTTTCTCGTCGTCATACATCGTTATTGTTCCATAGATGTCAGATTATTTCGAGGAAATGGGATGGACCCCACTCCGAGACGGAGAGACACCTAATGTACTATTACAAATGGCGCGATTTTTGCGAGATGTTGGAATGTGGGATATGTTGGGACAGGATGAAAAATTACCACCCCCTGCATCAAAAGCAGCAGTAGAAGCACTCGAGGAAATTAAAATTACCGATGCTGGATCCAAACAGTGTCCTGTATGTTTAAAAGCATTCGAAAGTAGTGAAATTGCTAAATCTCTGCCTTGTCAACACTCATTTCACAAAGAGTGTATAATTCCTTGGTTGGATAAGGTAACAATTTATTGGACTGACGTTATTCCTCACGTTGTTATCTCATTGAAAAAAATATTTACAGACCAATTCGTGTCCACTCTGTCGGCACGAGTTACCTACAGATGATGAGGACTATGAAATGTATAGGAAGGAAAAGTTGAGGGCAGTGGAACGAGAAAAAGATTTGGAGACATTGCACAATTCTATGTTTGGTTAACAAAATTGTTGGAATTTTTGAAAATTATTTGGGAGGTTTTTGCCATCATGGTTATGTCAATAGAAATAAAATCAATATAAGTAAGGCTTTTTCGTTGGTATTGACTCAGTGTTTTGTAGAAAACTAAAAAGCTAGCGGCACACAGTGGATGTTCTAATTTAATGGAATATCACTCTCGAATTTATTCCAGCAAAAATGTTAATTGCTGACCAACCTCTAAACGCTAAATAGTCCGTTATCTTCAGAACGTAGTTCGAAGCAAAACCAAATGCCGAATTTCCAGTTTCAAGACCGAAAAAACCAACTAGAGATTTGATTTAGAATCATTGGGCGAACATTCCAAACGAGATAAGCTAAAATTGGACTGTAATGGAAGAGACGTCCAGCGGCAACAAGCCGTAACAATTTCGAGACGTTCCTATAAAACAAGACTGAGCGAGATACCTCGTGCACTGGACGGCTTTAATTATCCCGCGGCCTTCTAACGTGCAATTAATTCCGAATGCGGTTTAGTTTAGCGAACGAAGAGCAAACAATGTATTACCCCCCTACCCAGACCGGCTAAACGTAGGTGGTTACAGGGAATGGAGGCAAAAGAGAAGCTTGGTCGGATGAAAGAGGGG